AACTGCCCTCTCTCCAACAAGTCCGTTTGGGGTTATTCCGAAACGTCATCAACCGGGGAAGTAGCGCCTCATCCCTGACCTTTTCCTCTCCCCAAGGAGCAAGCGTTAACGATGGTTTACCTCAGGATCCCTTCTCTATGCGATACATTTCCGTTGACGACGTTATCAGATCCCTCGTTGTCATTGGCCCCGGGGCCCTAATGGCCAAGTTCGACGTGCAAGCTGCCTACCGTAACATTCCGATCAACGTCTCCGACCGACATCTGTTAGGCATGTACTGGCGAGAATCTTTCTATGTTGACTTGGTGCTACCTGCGGTTCGCCGTTACCTTCAGGTTCGAGGCAACGCTCCCGGGTCACTGTTCGTGTTATCCGATGGCTCTCCGCTAACACCGGTGGTGGTCAACTGTTGGCTCCGTGCGATTTTATCCAACTTGAGCATACGTGGTACCTTACTCCAGTCACACTTTTAGGATTGGCGCGGCGACAGCAGCAGCGTCTACGGGCATCTCGGATCACTTAATTAAGACATTGGGTCGTTGGTCGAGCAACGCGTACCTTCTTTACATTCGAACTCCATCGCCCGTGCTAACATCAATAGCTGCCGTGCTGGCCTAATTCGAACCGTTTTGGAGAAGGGTTCGAGTGCCTCGAACCTCTCTCTCCAGCGTTGCTGGAGTGGTGCCCTGGAGAGGTGTTGTTCTCGGCACTCGAGAACAGCTAGGTTAATTAAATTAAATGTAAATACGTCACCAAGTCGTCGATACCTAATTTGTGAACGTGGCCATGACTAAACGCAAACTCTCGACCCACGGTCATGGCTTCGACCGAACTTCCTCTTCAGTGGTAACACAAACCGCCAAGTCAATTATCAGATTTGCCAGTTACGATCGAAGCGAGCTTGTTAAAATATAGTAAATTTATGAATTAATGAGTAATAGAAATGTTGTTAATTTATTATGTTGTTAGATAGTGATGTCCCCATTGCCACTGAAGCAGATTATAAGATGGAAAACTATGGCGAGATTGAAAAATCTAGCAGTTTATCAAGTGGTCTTGAACTGACAATTGCACCACGAAACTCGGTGGTGCAATCAACACACCACCATAGCCCTATAGTAGGGGGCAGTGAAACTTAATGGGCAAAGTTGTTAATTTGCAAAGTTTAATGTGCCTAACTTGTTTAGATGTTAAGATGTGGACGAGTGTATAAATAAAGGCCCACAAGAGTATTAAATTGCATAAATATTGCCATACAGCCATAGCTCTAGATCTTTTTGAATGTAAATACTAGTAGTTTATATTATGAGCAAAATAAATAAAATATTTTCAACATTTTAGGTTAAATGTTCCAGGGGTTGTTTGCATAGTATGTTGATGAGGTATATCTCATTTAGTCAAGTTGTGTAAAACATTCATGAGGATTTAGGAGCAAGCACAGAGACAACTGGGATAGGTCTTGTGTTTACACTACAAACCTACACCTGTCCAAGCTGTTTACTGGGACTTACCTTGAGTAACCTGAGAATGATTTCAGGTAAAGCATTTGTGTGTATAAACATGTTTGGATTGTTTAATCCCAAGACCAATTTCCATGGCAACATGGTAAATCATGTGTGTATATGTATGGTGCATGAATGGGTGTATTTTTGTGTGTTTATACACCGTACTTTGCCGGGCTCATTTTAGATTTTGCTAACTGTTGACAAATATTTTCAGTGAGACCATCAAATGATGTTTGCCACATATTTTTCAAATGTCATTGATTTTTAAATATCAATACCATCTGTACTGTAATCAGCCCAACAAATTGCAATGTGCAACCATGCCTTTAAATTGTCCAATTTGTTAGACTATGTCTGTAACTGGTATCAAATGCATTGTATGCAGCCAGAGGTAAATCCAGAGTATACCCCATTCCTTAGTGTAAACATAGTATATTTTGGCAATCAAGGGCAATAGCCTTCATAGTTCAAAACTCAAAAAAGGTGAATCACAAACATCAACAGGTGAACCATGCGTGAGATGAGATTAGTTTGGTCTGGTTTGTGGTTTATATAATTTAATATTGTCAGCCAGTTACAACAATAGAGCTCTAAAATTTATGTTTTTATCTTCACCATATTTTGCATACTAAAAAGCACTCATGCATGTTAATTTATAATTATATTCCTTCTATTGGCAAAATTTTAGAAACCTACAATCATTAAATATTTTCCAGTTAATTTTCTCCTCTGAAGTAAAATGTATCATCAGTACAAATAAATAGTACTTTCAACATTCCATATTTATAAAATTCATTGTATTATTAAAATATCAAAAATATAAATTATAAACTTGGCCAGTTTCTTTAACTTTGGCTTTGTTGTCAGAATACTTTTCTTTCAAACTGCAAAAAGGCAGTACATTTCATGATGTGCATCCAACACCAGACATATATTTTCAACCATTTGAAATAAACCATGACCAAGAGACTTTCTATTAAATTTCGAGAGGTCCTGAGGAAACTCGCCAGCTAAAATGATAAATATATAATACCGTTTTTTAGGAAAAATAATTATTATCAACGCAGTGATCATTTGGACATAAAATCTTTCCCAAATGTCACGCTCGATGGGCAGGCTTTTCAATTTCATTGAGTATCGTACAGCAATTTCCTCATTTGCATCCTCATGTCCGCCATGTTTGTTACAAGTTCTGCCTGGCGCTTTGTTTCCTGCAACCTCCTCAAGCACCCCCGCGCGCTCGAGCCACTGATCTATATAAAAACACTGTAGTGTACCCATTTTTAGCGCCTGGGTACGAGGCTGCGTTAATACCACATAAATCTTTTCGTTAATCGTTTGAAATGTTCTTATACCGGGTGTCCCAAAAAAAAAATATACCTTGTTTGATTTCATGTACCGTAAAACCTATTACAGCTATTATTCACAAAGGATTAACTTAGATTTTGATATATAACATTTACATTTTTGTGCGATATTGACACAGCTATTGACGTTTCAAAGTTGAACTAACATTTCTGAAAAGTTAAAAATTAGCATAAAACAGCATATCAAATTCCAATTTAGTTTTTGATTATTTTTATTTTAGCTAAAAGAATGCCTTTATGAAATTATGTACAAAAGAATGGACTAATTTGAGTTTACTCATCAGGAAAAGCGTGTCGATACAAATCCAAACTGTTTGGTCATTTCTTAACTTTAGGAATAAAAATCTAATCGACATGCAATGTTTATTTCATTGCCAATTTGATTCCCAAGGGACATCATATGCATGGAAACTTTTGTTCAATGTGAATTATTACTTTGTTTTAGGGACCGGTCATTATTTATGGAAGGGG